CACAGTTAAATTCACTCTATCTAGGAGGCTCAGTTTATATGGATGTTATTTATTTTTTACAAGCTGGAATGAAAACAAGCAAAAATTAAATAAAAGTAACAACTTTCTACTTCTTGTCTTTTTTAAAAATGTAAGGAGTAAAAGTAAAAAGTAGGCTGAAAAATAATTACCCAAGTAAAGTACAGATAACCAAAAATTCTACTTAAGTACAGTAACAAAGTATTTGTACTTAGTTACTTTACAACTTTGGGCKACAGTGATGTGAAAAAGTCCTACAGAGAAGAAATACTTTAAGTTATTGCTGCTGAGGGTTGTTCAACAGACTGCTGAGTCGTGTGTTTTACTTATGTTTTACATAATGCTTCAGTGTTTAACACCAGACCAAAGGAGCTCCAGATCAAAGTCCACCTGCAGCACAAGACCTTTACCAGTTACAGTGACTTTATTACACCTTTACCTGCTACATTTCATCCTAATACACACATGGTTTAAACAACTAAACATAAAATAACTTGGCTAATGTAGAACGCTCTCCTAACTTCCTAACTAAAACTGTGCTCTTAACATCCAACTTGTCCTTTTCCAACACGTTAAATAAAAGTTTCCCTCACTCACCGTTTTCGTTGTTCAGGACTTGAGCCCGGCACCGTTGTCGTCACCAAGCAGTCGGTGGATGCCACCTTCCTGCCCCGGTTTGAGCAGGTGACCCTGGGGGAGACGGTGGTGCGCAACACCGACCTGGACCCGAGTTTGGCTGAGGAGCTGCTGCGGTGCAGCAAAGAGCTCGACCAGTTCCAGACTGTCGTCGGCAACACCATGTGCACGCTGGATTTTTACGAAGGTAACGGATCTGGATTCAGCTATGATCSGTGTTGTTTGTTCGTTGGTTTTTCAAAAACTATTTTTTTTCTTTTCCATTTTTAAAACCTTAATGTAAAATCCAACTAATTTAAAATCCACAGTGTTTAGTTTTTGCTTCAACTATTTAAATAAAAAAATGTGCTGTTGGTTTAATATGCAGTGATGCACAAACATTTATTTATTTATAAAATGTATTCATTTAA